TTTGGGCTCTGGGCTATTTCTTGTCTAACCTTAATTGTGGCAGTTTGTCTGGGGATGTGAGGGGTTGTAGCCAGCAGTAGAAACAAAAAACATTTCTTTCTTTCCGTATCTGTCTATTTAAGGCAATGTGTATACCTATTGCTTCTGTGTGGGTGGCTGTAAGCGAGACTAAAATCTCTCAGCATGTGGAAGGTCAGAAAAGGTTTACACATTGCCTGTTTCAATCTCTGAGTGTGCAGAGCCACAATGCTGGCTAAGGTCAAATCTTTTATCCATTTAATTGGCATAATTTTTGCACACTAAATTGACCAAATAAAAGAAAACACCACAAGGAGTGTCCATAGGGTCCCATGGCAAGGTTAGTGTTACTGTTTAATAACTAAAAATAACAGAGGGAATACATTTCATGCATGCTGCTTCAGTATTTGTTTTGTAATTAATTACATTAATATTTCCAGTTGTCAACTGTCTCTTCTGCTTTCTTTCAGCATGAAATGTCACAAGAAGATGATGACAGCATTGTCCATGAGGATGACATTTCTCTTTCCATCACTGAGCTGCCCCCTGAGTATCACTGTGGTGACAGTTTGACAATGGATATAACTAACAATGATTACAAAGGAGAACTAGATCTTGAAGGCTGCTTACCAAGGTACCTATTGCAACATTTAAATATTTAGCTATAAATAAAGTGTCATGAAAAATGCACTTCTCCTAAGATGTGGTCATATCCATTCAGTCTTGCTGAGGAAGAGCGAGATGACGTGCCGGAGTCGCATTCTTCACCACCACCGTCACCTTTCTTCTCCGCCATCCTTGCGGCTTTCCAGCCAAATGTGTGCGATGATGCAGAAGAGGCTTGGCGAAGCCACATCAACCAGCTTGTGTCTGACTCAGATGGATCCTGTGCCGTCTACACTTTTCATGTGTTTTCCTCACTTTTTCAGGTATTATAGCTTGACCCTGTAGCCAGCCTAATCCCAAAAGACATCAGCGCGACGTGTAGTATGAGATGTCAAATTGTATAATTAAACCAAAAGGTTAACAGGATTAGCTATAAGGCAAACTGACCTTTCAGAAAAGGACTGCTTAATTGAAAATTGAGGTCACTCCGTAGATGCTCTCAGCTTGAAAATCTCCTGTGATTCATTAACCGGTTGTTGTTCACTTCACTGACCAAAGCTGACAGGGCAACATTTCAGAAAAACTGAACTAATGAAGGATGTACTAGAGCCTTAAATTATGTAGGCGGGATTCTGGTGGTGTTACAGACAGCATGTTTTTTATGTTTTGCAGAATATCCAAACCAAATTTTGTTCTTTGACATGTGATGCCGTCAGTTACCTTGGTGATGGCCTGAGAGGACTAGGATCAAAGTTTTTGAGGTCTTCTCAGATGCTGACATCATGTTCAGAGTGCCCAACACTTTTTATTGATGCAGACACAGTAAGTTGCCTGACATTTAGCGACCTCCAGTGTATTTCAACAAATGTAATGACAAATTGGTATTTTTCCAGATCATGTCTTATGGACTCCTTGAAAAGATGAAATTTAGTGTGCTGGAACTTCAAGAATATTTTGATACTTACAACAACAGAAAGGAGGCAGTTCTCACAGTAAGTGGTTCTTATCGTGTGCTTGTCACTCTAGATGTCACCTGTATGTTGCTGCTGAATTATTTAAATTGACCTCTGTTTTACACAGTGGTTGAGCAACTGTAAAGCTGCTTTTCCCAAGAGTGCTGGGGGTTCGGTGATAACGTGTCAACCACTGGAGCATGAGGAAAAGGTAATAATTATTATTATAAATATATTTATTTGAGCATCTCATGCTATCATATCAACAGTGGGATTAAGTAAAGCAGTGGGTTAGTATTTACTTTGGCTTAGATACTGCATTAAGCCAGTGTTCAACCAAAATAATTGTTGATTATGTACATTTAACAAAAACTGAACTGAACATATGAAGGATTCCATTTCATCTGATCTTTCATACTGTACTTTCTGCATTGGGATTACTGTGTGATACTGTAGCTCTGTGAGTGTTACCTCTAATTCTCTTGCACTGTACAAAGTTTTTGACAAACTTAAGTTGATGCACGTCACGTTTAATATTTCTTATCCAGTGTGCATTGTGTTAATTTTCAGTTCCTCTGGGCATGGGAGTGAGCTTTCTTATGTTGCAATTTAATCAGGCTTCATAACTGAAGAAGGTTAACAGCAAAATAGAAAGTTTTGCTGTTAAAATGTATGAGTTTGTCACTTAAGTGAGTGCTGATTAACATGCAGAACATGCTTGCCTTTTCTTTTTCTTTTTTTAAAACGTGTTTTTATTAATTTATTTTTTTGTATTTAATAGTTCATGGAAACTATTAGCCCTCTTCATAATTCTAATTTGCACATACATCTACCCTAACTTTCTTCCTCTGTGCATGTCAATAAAATGACACCAATTAGACCTGTTCTATACTTCTCACCCACTCTATGTTGTAAATAATGACCATTTGCATGAATTTCATTCGCTCTGTGTTTTTTCCTTACTTCTTACTTCTTTTCTACCCCATAACATGCTTGCTTGATAGCAAATGGAATTTCTGGCTGTAAGTTGGAAAAGGCTTGTCTCTACTTTCCGATTTAAAACAAAACAACATTGTATTTATTGTATTGTCATTTTCAGCAAAAGAATACTTTTTTAAGTCTTCAATTGCGGTTGTGCAGACATTTTAAAAAGGAGGAAACAGGAAGTTAAAGACTTATTTTCTGATAATCATTTTCTATTACTTTCAGCAACTGGAGCTCTGTCAAAGACTCTACAAACTCCACTTTCAGTTGTTGCTGCTTTTTCAGTCCTACTGCAAACTGACTGAACAGGTCCATGCAATAAGCTCTATTCCAGAGGTAGGTATATCTGCATTTGCTTCTCTTCAGTTTTTGAAGGCATAAAACACACTTTTTTATCTGTGTTCCTGTTCAGTAACATAAACCCCTCTCGACTTTTAGCTGACAAACATGTCCAAAGAGCTTAATGAGTTGAAGAGCAACCTGAGGTTAGCAGCTGCTTCAGTGGCAAATGATGAGATTGCTGCCTGTGAGAGTTCCTGCTCTGAGCCGGTTTTTAGCTCCTCCGAGGCTGCAGTGCAGGCCATCCTAGAAGGTCTAAAGAACAATGACTTTCCAACCGCTGTTCACTACATTCGTGTGTGCAGGTGAGAAAAGTAAAATTCTTGTTTCAGTGTTTATTAAAAGTGTTTTTTTGATAAATGTGTCACTTATTAAAACAAATACTTATGATTTCCTTCCAGAACAATGTGGCCTAATGATATCTTTGGTAACCACTCTGAGGATGAGGTCCAAACATTGCTGAACATCTACTTTAGACATCAAACTCTGGGTCAGACAGGAACTTTTGCTCTGGTGGGCTCAAAGCAAGACTTGACAGAAATTTCTGTCAAGTTGATGGAACTTAATGGAGAAACTCGGGACATGATCCGAAGAGCCCAGGGCTACCGCACCATCACAGCTTTTCTCCCAGACTCCAGGGTTTCAGGCTCAACTCTCTGATGACTCTGACAGCCAGAACTACAAAACACCCAATGTCATGCCTAGTGTAACCTGTTGTCTGTGGTAGCTTCTATCATCTCAAGGGTGAACTTTCTCTTGGGAATAACTAAACCGCTGTTTCCTCTTCTTGCTTAAAGTACATCAGAATGTCATGAAGTCCAATCTTCAGATGTGCAGCAGTACTGTTGTTTTTAGACTGATGAGTGACTTTGCTGTTGCAAACACAGTACAGCTTTTATTGCACTAATAATAGAAATGTCACAAAGCAGCCTGTGTGTACTGAAGTACATAATTTTCACATTTAAAGAAAAATGAAATGAAATACCAAAGCTGAGTTATTCTCTTTCAGTTATGTTGTTTTAATTGTCAAGGGAAAATGTGCAATCCTTCACTAAAGTGGAAGAACTTTACTGTCTCCTGAAATTATGTATTTGAATATCATAGCATTGGATAACATGAACACTGTTAGCACAGAAAAAGGGAGGCTTCATTACTTGGTTTGTGTGTTGGTGTAGGTGTGTTATGAGTGTGCTTGAGTGTGTGAATTCAAGTCTGACGACCATCACAGATGGAATTATTAAGACTGATTTGTATACTGCAAGTGGTTCATGTTAAAAAAAATTCTGACATGCTGCAGATCTACTGTAATGTCTCTCAATCCTACAAACTCTTGTGTGGGTTATCTGTTACTCAAAACATCTTACTGTACCTTTTAACTGTGCAGCTTTTAGCAAATAGGTAAATTATTTATATTGTTAACAAAAGAAAACGTGCTTTTATCAGACTAGATTTATAGAAAAAATATTTTATTTTATCTGTTAAACCTGCCAAGCGTGCAAATTCTGTGTACAATAAAAATGTAATAGTAAAGTTTATGAACAAAGAGAGAAACTATTTTAAATGAAAGAAAATGTACATAGTGAAAAGGGGGGCTTTGCTGAGACTCATCAGATTGTATTTTTATGAAGTTACAGTTTAGGTGCATGCAGAGTGAGTAGCTACATATACATATATAAATAAATCTTCCACAAAAGTGGTGTAGCCTTTGGCCTTGTAAATGCTGTAAAAACTGCCTTTGCAATGTACTGTACTTTGGTATTCTGTTCACTAATACAACAATAAAATTAAGCTTAGATTTCTTATTTGTGGTTGGAATTTGTTATTGGAATTTATTTATTTGCTTATTTTTATTTATCTGCTTAAACTGCGCACCCGGAAGTGAGTCTTCCAGCTTAGTATCATATAAAGTCAAAAGTTTAACGACTGTTTACAAAATAATTCAATTAGATTATTATTATTGTTAGTAGTAGTAGTAGTAGTAGTATCAGTAGCATTTGCGTTATTAGGAATATCAAGGGTTAAAAATTCAAGCGGTCTTTTATTTTGAAGTGCCATTGAGTTCCGGTGCGCGACGCGCGAGGTTTGTTTTTGTCGCGTGAACGTGCTAGCTAGCAGGCCGAGTTTTTCTTGGCTATTCCCTTTGCATCGTATTTTTCGTTTTATTGTTTCTTTACATCATTATATTACGAGATATATCGCGACATGAAAGTGCACACTCTTGAACGTCGTCATGGTAAGTCTGAAAAACGTTAAATTCACTTTTTGTGGGCTCCCCCCTTATTTGACAACGGTAGGCTGTCAGTGTAAAATAAAATGTTTCTCCGTAAAGTTTTTTTGCTTATCTAAAACAAACGTAAGCTAACGTTACTCACTGTTGCCCAAACAGTTTCGCTGTCACGGTAGTTTTTAGGTAATGTAGTTGAATAGCGGCTACGTTGTAGTCTGACTGCTTACCCTAGTAAATGTACACCACAACTTTATTCTGAAACTCGGACACCTTTCTGCTTTTTCATTCAAGTTATGTTACATTCACATTCTCAGGTATCAAGCTGTAGTACAGTGCAGTCACTGGAATGGATTTGCCCTTAAAAAACATGTACGAGACATTCAAAGATGAAATCTGGAAAGGTAGGAAAACCTATGCAACATCAAAAAGCTGTGATTTTGGTCATCGGTACTTTTTAGACGCCCGCAAAAACAGTTGTATTCTGAATATTATAAGTAGAAATGAATTGTACAGATTTACCTTTCCCCTCTAAATCGGTTTGTGGCTTGTCGACTTAATGATGAGTTCTTACCCATTATGAACATTTTAGAGCTGGGACCACTGGATCACAAATGGTTTGACATACTGACTGCTCAAACATCAGCGAATGAGGGCAGCGGCTCTGATCAAGATGAGCTATGTGCCAATCAGGAGGGACATTTTAAAACCCCTTTAGACAAAACTGCAGTAGACAGTCAGCTGTTTTCTACTCCAAAAGTTTTCAGACACAGTCGAATTGTGTCACCTGAAATAGAGGATGAGCAGTCGTTCTCTACTACACAAGGTAATTCATTCAGATTTTAGTATTTACTTATTTATACTGTAAATCTCCAACATGTTATTTAAACACTTGCTAAATAAAAATATAGGTTTCTGTTTTGACTTAATTGCGATCAAGAAGCTGCTGTAACCTACTTATTCTTAGATTAAATCTAAAAATCTTGTTTCTCTGTGATACTTCTTAGAAAATGATACATTGCCATGGACGGAAACACAAAGTCCATACATGTTTCGGATCTCAAAAAAGGGGTGAGTGCAACAATGAATTATCAGTGTTTAAATTCAGAGTTGCTATATATACTGGCATTTTTATGAATAGTATGTTTTGTTTTTTTTAAGTGATTAAATAATTTAAGTAGTTGTGTAATTAAATCACAACAGGAACAACAATAACTGATTTTAATAACGCATACTGAAAAACTGCCTTATTTTGTGATTTTATGTATTTATTTATTTTTTTTGGGAGGGAGCTATTTTCATGATAATTTTACAAGAACAGCTTGGCTTTTTATGTTTTTCCAGCTATTGGCTGTTTTTAATGTATGTTTTGTTTTTTTAGGGTTCCTGATACAAAATATGAGGAAATCCAACCTCAGAGTCAGGACAATTTTGGTGAGGTTAAAAATAATCTTAGTCTCATTTACATGAATTGCATACAGAAGCCAAGACTTAATCATCACTACTTAATTTGCTTACTTCTACCATATTTACAGATCCACTTGATACCCCGCATAAATCTCCAGTACGTATAGCATATCCAATGATTAATATTTTTCTGATAGTATTTAGAATGTAGAAGAGTGAATAAAATTAAATGTACCTATCTTTATGTTTTTGTTTTGATTTTTGTTTTTAATCATACAGATGAGCTATGCCAAGCATATTTCTGAAAGTCTTGGTGCACAGATTAACCCTGATATTTCATGGACCAGTTCTTTGAATACACCACCCCCTGTTCCATCTACCCTGATTTTGTGTAAGCCAATAGCAGACTCGCTCATTTTAAACAACTGAAAAGGTTATGTAGAATAGAATAGAATAATGTTCATTAATTTTTTAATTAATTTTTGTCTCCTTTTAATCTTGCAGCTAAAGTTGATGAGAGTCCCTGTCCAGTGAGTGTTTCTGCAGACAAAAGTGTTGTTGTGAGTACTCAGTCCGGCACAAATATACAGCAAACCTATCTTTATCTATTATTTTGATGAATGTCACTCAATGTTGAATTACTGGTCCTGCTGTATTCACATTCTTTAAGTGGATATTCTGAAATTTGAACATGTTAAGAATGGTTGAATTGATGATTTTATGTGTTACTAGAAATCAGAAATTCTTCTTATTATATTACTCTTTATAACATATTACAAGCAAAGAGGTGCAACATTTCAGATTTCTGCTGACAAAGTGTTTTGTCCTCTTACCTTTTCCAGTTTGTACGGAAGCTTTTCCCTTCTCTTTCAAATCCTTCCAGAATTGTGGTAGCACCACCTAAAAATGATAATATAACTACTGATAACCACGGTACTGACTTCTCTTTTTTTAGTATCACATTAACTGAAATGGTGAATATTTGTGAACTAACTATGGCTCCCAACAATTTTGGCTGACATGCTGATTGTTGCTCTGTCATCAACAGATGCTGTTTTGCCTGAAGTTGTTTCCTCCCAGACTTTATTAACGCAGAATGAGGGTATTTGGCAACAGATACTGCAGGGTGCTAATGGAGATGGCAAAATGGCCAGTGCTCCTGATGAATTTCAAAATGCTTCATCCACTTTCCTCGCCAACAGTAGTTCAGCACTGAGAAAAGTGAAACCTGACAGAATCAGACGGAAGCAATTCAAATTAAGTGAACATGACTGCAGCTCTACAGATATCTCAAAAACAAACCAGCCTAATGAAGAGCACAAAGCTGATGAAGAACATAGCACCGTTCCATCATCCCCACCGGCAAAAAATGGAAGCACTGGAATCAGCCAATGGTCTCCATTGAATTTATCTGAAATTCCCCCTTGTACTGCAGAAAATAATATTTTAACAGAACTGCAGCCTGACTTTGATTCTAGACAGCTTGTCAGGCCACCTATAAAAATCACAGACACTGGATTAATTAGGAAAAAAAGAAAATTTGTTTACACTGTTGAGACTTTGAAGCCAAAAGTTAAAGAAAATGAAACTAACTTTCAGAAGATTAACACATCATCAGGAATTCCAGATACTGGTAACATATTTAATTATTAAAAATATATGTATATTTTTCTGTTAAAATAGAAGTGATTTTTTGTTTTCTATAATGACTGAAAAATTTGGTGGTTTTTTTTTTTTTTTATCACCATGCTTTCTTTTAGGACCAAAACTGAGTAGTAAGCAGTCAGAAGATGCCCCAGATGAAGCAAGCTGCTGCAGTAATGAGAAGAATGCAGAAGAAAAACGTACTTTGGAAAATTTGCCTTCATCTGTGCAGGAAAAAGTCCAGGATCTTGACATGTCACAGCTTCACAAAGATTTTGCACAAGACTTCAGCCAAATCTCAGACTCTGGTACACCGACTAAAGGAGTTGCAGAAGATCAAGACCACTTCTCACCTTCAGCCTGTCTGTTGGCCATGAAAAAAGCTAAGCATCAAACAATTCAAGCAAGCATTCACCATGACTATAACAGCATCAGTAACACAGGACATACGTCTACCACTAATCAAAATTATTCCACCAATGAAGGCACCATAAGTGACAGTGGTTTCCAGTCTGCTGTTGCAGATATCACTCACACTGCATCTTCTTGTATTGTTCCTTGCTCAGAAAACACTGGATCAAAAACTGATATTCACAGGACTACTCCTTTTCCATCTACGCACAGAGGAAATGAAAAATCCCAGCTCCTGGAAAGACAGACTACAGATGGCGAAAGAGAAGGTCAGTTGGACATGGAGAGCACATTAACACAACTGCCAAGCAGTCTAAAAGGAACTGATGATGGCCATAACTGCATTCCACAAAATGGTGAGGTTCATGGCAGACTGCTAGAGAAGACAAACATTTCTCTTCCACCCACCCATGCATCAGGATTCAAAACGGCTTCAAATAAAGGTATACAAATTTCCTTGGCCAACCTGGAGAAGGCAAGGCATCTCTTTGAAGAAAGAAATGGCCATCAGCCCACCAAATGCAACAGTGCCACAAAACGTAAAAATAGCCAGAGCAATGGATCCATGAAAAGCACAGTTTCTGTATCAAATCAGCAACCTTCTGTAAGCGAAATATTTGAGGGTGGCAGCTGCCACTTAACAGCTTCACAAAAAGCTGATGTGACAGAACTGTGCACTCTCTTGGAAGAAGCAGATAGCCAGTTTGAATTTACACAGTTCAGAGGTGCAGAAGTAAAACAGCCTTGTCAAGAAAATGCCTGCTTTCTAGAGAAGACTGACAAAGACCTTGATCCTGATTTTCTTGCAGGCATAGATTTTGATGACAGCTTTAGTTCAGATGCTGAAAAGCACTTGGCAATAACTGCCATGCCTGACAAAATGACCTGTGTGGTAGATGAAAAAGCAAATGGTGGGACATCAAACATCACTGATAAATCCACCGGTGTATCAGTGTCGAGTTCTGTTAAAAGAGAAAATATCTCTGCTGGAGAGGGGCTTTCCTCTTCAGAAGACATTCCTGGAAGAAATAATTGGCTTATATCAAAGAAGCAAAAAAGTCTTAACAGAGCTGAGCACGGTGACGCAAGCAAGATGGAGAAACCGAACCCTTTAATGCTTAGTGTTACCTTTAAGACTGCAGGAGGGAATGCTTTAAGAGTTTCAAAAACATGTCTAAGCAAAGCTAGAGCTTTATTTGCTGATTTAGAGATTAATGTGTCAGATCTGAATATATCAAACAAACAGGCTGCTGAGACTGATGCAAAAACCAAAAAGATGTGCAATGTAGATTCTGAAACGGCCAAAGCCGATTTCAAGTTCACTCTCAAAGACGACTGCCACGTTGAAGAGAAAACTTGGAGTTGTTTTTCCAACACCAAACAGCCTGTCTCTGCATTAAAACAGGCCAGAGACATGCAAGATAAAGATACTACGAAAAATTTTGAAAACTGCAAAATAGATGCCATTACCATTTCTGAGGAACATGCCATTGTAGACACAGAGTTTGAGAATGTAAACACTGGACTAAGTAGGTCACATCCTGATGATATAGAAATGGAACGTGTTGGTTGTAACACTGTGCTGGAATTTAAAAATCCAGTTTCTTTCCATGAAAACTCATTTTCCACTTCAAAGCTTCTACCATGCCCAGCATCAAAGAGTATTGATTCCTCTGCCATCAGTGAATTGAGCAGTGGTGATGGATTCTGTACAGCCAGTGGGAGGAAAGTATCCGTGTCAGCTGATGCAATGAAAAAGGCTAAATGTCTTCTGAATGACACTTATTCACTTGAAGACACAACCAAAAAAATAAGCCAAAAAGAAAATGTTTTAAGAACAGCACAGTTCACTGCTCAAAATAAAGAATCTATTCCTAAAACAAGTGGATTTGACACAGCCACTGGGAAAGGAGTTTCAATTTCATCCACAGCTCACAAGAAAGCAAAATGCCCGTTGAGTGAATCTGATAAAGTGTATCATAAAATCAATGCAAAACCATCACATTACAAGATTCCAGTATATGGCCCACCACCCAGCAATGTAGGATTTCTTGCAGCCAGTGGAAAGAAAATAGCATTTTCCTCAAAGGCCCTTCAAAAGGCCAAAGCACTTTTCAGTGACATCAGTTTCAGTGCAGACAGCCCAGCTGGTCCTCACCCAAAGAACGGTGACAAGAAAAATGACAATTGTGAACATCCAGACAAAATGCAGAGTGGTTTGACCGCAGAGGGAGAAAACGTCCATGTCTCAGAGAAGCACATTTTAAAGGACTTTGAAGATTCTGTTTTAACAAACGCTATGCAAGAGAGAGTAGACTGTGATATAGACGTTAACAATGGTGAAAATATTATGCATACAAGTGGAAGTGGCAGTGACTTAGGAATTGGACCAGATCAAGGGGTGACTTCAAACATTTCTGTAGAGTCTGCAAATAAACAAGTGAAACAAAAAGACAGTTTGCCACTACAAAGTGGTGGATTTGGTCCAGTAAATGGAAAGGGAGTTTCCATTTCATCTGAAGCCCTTAAGAGAGCAACATCCCTGTTGGAGCAATGTGATGAAGTGAACACTAAAATCAATGTTAATCAGTCACATTTGAAGACTTCAGTTTACAGCCCACTCCCCACAAGTGGTGGATTTCATGCAGCCAGTGGAAAGGCTTTGACACTTTCATCCGAGGCCCTTCAGAAGGCAAAAACTCTTTTCAGTGATATCATTTCCAGTGCAGAGAGTCCAGTTGTTCCACACACACGGAGTATAAAACATTTTGTAAAGTCTGGAAGTGGATGCACTGAGGACAAAAACAAACAGCTAAAAAAAGAAGAAGCCAGTTTCCCACTACAAAGTGGTGGGTTTCAGACAGCGAGTGGAAAAGGACTTGCTATTTCATCTGAAGCCCTAAAGAAAGCAAAATCCCTTTTGCGTGAATTTGATGAATTGGGTGATAGAAGTGGAAAGCCATCATGTTCAAAGACTCCAGTCCCAGAGAATGGTGGATTTCTTGCACCCAGTGGAAAGCCTATGGGACTTTCATCTGAGGCCCTTCAGAAGGCTAAAACTCTCTTCAGTGATATAATTTCCAGTGCAGAGAGCCCACATGCAAAGAACAGTGACAGAAACCATGACAACTGTGAACCTATGGCGAAAATGCAGAGTGGTTTCAAAACTGCAGGCGGAAAAAAGGTTCATGTATCACAGAAAGATCTTCTGAATGCAAAACATCTTTTGAAGGTCTTAGATGATTCTGTTTTAACAAAAGCAATGCAAATGGCAGAAGACTGTGATATGGATGTTAACAATGGCATTTCAGCAAAACACAAAAGTGTAGCACCTATGGTTGGAACAGGCAGTGATGAGAAAAACCTTCCAGAAACCAGACTACAGCAAAAGGCGACTTTGGGCTTTTCTGTAGAGTCTGAGAAAAGATACACTGAGGACAAAGACAAACAAGCGGAACAAAAAAATGACACTTTGTCGCTACAAACAGCGAGTGGAAAAGGAGTTACCATTGCATCTGAAGCTCTAAGGAAAGCAAGATCTCTGTTGGGTGAATGTGATGAAATGGAGGATAAAATTGGTATAAACCCTTCATCTTCCAAGATTCCAGTTCATGACTCACTTCCTCAGAATGGTGGATTTCGTGCTGCAAGTGGAAAGCCTGTAGCACTTTCCTCTGAGGCCCTTCAGAGGGCAAAAGCTCTCTTTGGTGATA